GATTTTCCCGAATTTTGGAACAGGGAGAACATTTTCCATCTCGCAAAAAAAAAATACTACGTCACCCGCCACAGAACAGAAAGTCGAAACCATCAATTCGCAGCGACCGGAAAAGTATCTTCTGCAAGCGCAGCGGCCAAAAAAGCCGTTGCTCAGAAAACTATCTTCGACCAGCCCACAACGGTATTCTTTCGTACAAAGAACGACGAAACCAGTTTTTTCGATTATTGCACCCGCGCACAACACGATTTTTCACGATTCATTTCCGTCGCCGAAAAAAAAAATACTACGTCGACCCCCAACAGAAACAGACAGCCGAAACCATCCATCCGCAGTGATCGGAAAAATACTTTTTTCCCTGCTCAGAAAACAGAAACCCGCTACTCTGTCGTGAAACGCGCGACGAAAACCAGAAAACCTGATTTTTGAGAATCGCCCATCTCTTTTCCAGGTGACCGCATCAATTTTCTGAATCAACAGAAAAAAAATCAACACGGACGCACCCATCAGCGGCACTCTTAAGCAACCGGAAAAATAATTATTTCTCAACAGTTGCGGAATGCCAAAATCGGATTTGTGCGGAACACTCAAGCAGACATGCTCACAGGGTTACCCGCGAGCGCAACTTGCGTTCAAAAGATTTGATGAATTCACGAGATCTGCAATTCGCATTACGTTCGCAGTTTTGCTACGTTCTTCATCGATGTAGGAACCGAGACATCCACCGTTACGAGTTGTGTTTTGTAAAGTTTAGTTTTTCGTTTTATGGGTTTGGGTTGATAATAAAAAAAAAAGTACAGTTATTCGCGTAAGAAAATAGAACACTTGCAAGGGCGACGACTCTAGACTCCTTGTTTTTCAGAACACTACTCTCATTTCGATCCAAGAATCTTCAAAAAAACAAAAACTCGATTGGAGAAATGCAAGCAGCGCACCTCAAAAAAGAAAATCGAATCAAGCCACCCCCCACAAACTCTAAATTTTCAAGAATGATCCTTCCGCAGGTTCACCTTACGGAAACCTTGTTACGACTTCTCCTTCCTCTAAGTGATAAGGTTGACCAAGTTGAAGCCAAAAAGATCTGAGTAAAACAGTTCATCTAGCTCTCCCCAAGGCCTCACCGGACCACTCAATCGGTAGGAGCGACGGGCGGTGTGTACAAAGGGCAGGGACGTATTCAGCGCGGGATGATGACCCGCGCTTACAAGGTATTCCTCGTTGACGACGGAAAAATTGCAACCGTCGATCCCCATCACGAACGGATTTGGAGATTCGGAAATGCTCTCGCATATCCGTCACTCGTTGACCCGTTCAGTGTAGCACGCGTGCGGCCCAGGACATCTAAGGGCATCTCAGACCTGTTATTGCCTGGAGCTTCCGTGGGCTAGACGCCCACAGTCCGTCTAGGAAGGCTTTGCCTCGCTACCAAAGGTAACGGCGCCTAGCTAGCACGCCCAGGTCTCGCTCGTTAACGGAATTAACCAGACAGATCACTCCACCAACTAAGAACGGCCATGCACCACCAACCATAGAATCAAGAAAGAGCTCTCAATCTGTCAATCCTTACTATGTCCTGACCTGGTAAGTTTTCCCGTGTTGAGTCAAATTAAGCCGCAGGCTCCACACCCGGTGATGCCCTTCCGTCAATTCCTTTAAGTTTCAGCCTTGCGACCATACTCCCCCCAGAAAGCAAACACTTTGATTTCTCGAAGGATGCCGGATAAGCCATAAATCAGTCTTATCCGATCTCCAGTCCTCATCGTTTATAGTAAAGACTACGACGGTATCTGATCGTCTTCGATCCCCTTACTTTCGTTCTTGATCAATGAAAACGTCCTTGGCAGACGCTTTCGCAGCTGTTCGTCTTCCGACAATCCAAGAATTTCACCTCTAGCGTCGGAATACGAATGCCCCCAACCGTCCCTTTTAATCATTACCCGATTCAAACAAACCAACAAAATAGGACCGGGTCCTATTCTATTATTCCATGCTAATGTATTCAGGGCAATCGCCTGCTTTGAACACTCTAATTTTTTCACAGTAAACGGTGGCGGGCAGCCTGGCGATCCAATTAAGCACCACCAGACCCCCCTCCACAAAGGCGCACAACCTGGGAGCGCCCGCGAGAACGACCCAAGTCACACGCCAAAATCCGACTACGAGCGTTTTAACTGCAACAACTTTGGTATACGCTTACAGAGCTGGAATTACCGCGGCTGCTGGCACCAGACTTGCCCTCTGCTGGCTCCTCGATAAGCTGTTTACCTTGTTCTCATTCCAATTAGAAAACCCATCGGGCCCTCTATTGATATTTCTTGTCACTACCTCCCGGTGTCCGGATTGGGTAAGTTGCGCGCCTGCTGCCTTCCTTGGATGGTAGCCGTTTCTCAGGCTCCCTCTCCGGAATCCCGCACCCACGGTCCGTTACCCGTCACAACCATGGTAAGCCAATACTTACCATCCAAAGTTGATAGGTCAGAAATTTGAACGGTGCGTCGCAACTAGTGCGATCAGAAAAAAAATCTAGAATCACCAAAAAATTGGCTTGTATCTCTAATTTGTACCA